AACAACTTTAATCGAAATCTAATTCCAATATTAAAAAAAGATAGAAAAGCTTTGAATGGAGAGGACAGAAATGATTGTGGTTGAAACGTCAAAGAATTGGCTTTTAAAATGTCCCCACAATTGTCTCCATGAATAATGCACAATCTAAGCTAAACTTTAATTGATGTAACTAATTAAGCTCATCATGCCATATATGCCCACTAATTATTCTTTCATCCATTCTAATCAACCACTAACTTCTCTTCCCATTTTTATGATATACATTAGCTTTCCCCACTTATGTTATGTCAAACAAATCATAATTTTAATGAGTCATTACATATATATATATGTGTGTGTATAAATTACGTAGTATGTTAATTAGAAACAAAATATTTTAAAAACATTTTACAAGATAAATCTAATAAAATCATTTTTATATCATTATCTCATATGCGTGATATGTTTTATTTAAGTAATGGCAAAAATCTATCAATTTTTACTACAAAAAGCCACAACTCACAAGTACTCTGAAATAAAAGTAGTAACATGGTTTGTAATTATCATACATTTTTATTAATCGAAATTAATCTCATCTTTCAATTAGCATTTCGAGTTTAAAGTTTTTTTCGAAATTAAACAATATCCGTCAATTAGCTTTTTTAATATATATATATATATACACACACACACGTACAATTTGTCCTTAACGTTCATTTGTAATCTCTCTTTCCCCAGAGACTCTTGGAGAAGGAATTAGGCTGTCAAGTTTTTCTTAAGGGCATTATTCATAGGTTTAACAAGTCAACAAAGGTTACAAATAATTTAATTTAAGTTGTCCAAGGGTGTTACACATATGGTGTAAAAGATAATGAAAGAGGAAATCTTTAATCATTTTGCCCATCTTTTCTTTAATTTCTTCCTTTACATTTTTGTTTTTTTCAATGAAAATACAGATTTAAATGCCGTCAAGATCACACTTTGATGTAAAGTCCACTGCAATCATGAAAGCATAAATATATATATGTATGGATAATTGATGGAGCAATGCTATGTGCACAAATATAAACGTCACAAACTCTACAAACTTATTATTTATGGTATAAGTTTGTGAAGTTTGTAACGATTGTGTTTGTGAAACAATCATTTCCCTAATTCATTTGCTTGAATTGGCTAGCACGTACGTATATATTAAGCTTGTGGCGTTGGTTGGAATTATCGCTTTTAATTAATATTTGTATTTTAGATATTTTTAAATAATGAAAATTAAATTTAAAAATATTAAAGGTAAACAATATAAAAAATAAACGTTGTTATTATGTAGAATTTACTCTTTTACAATTTGGACCCGAAACTTTACCACAAGTATTTTACACGTCGAATAAATGGACAGGATACATAATGATATACTCCCTCCGTCACGTAAAAGTTTTCTGATCTTGATTTTTGGGTGATTTAAGAGAAGCGTATGTTCATGTTTGACCAACCACAAATGCCCTAAGAGTTTCTTTTTGAAAGTGAAGTTTCACATCAACGAATAGTTAAGAATAATGGAAAGAAATAATAAAAAAATAAAAAGTAAGATGAGATGTGATGGAAGGAATGTAGAAAAGTAGGGCTAAAGGGGGTATTTTAGTCCATTTTGTAGAAATTAAAATGTTTTATGAGACGGGGAAGATAAGAAATTAAAGTTGAAATATTTTGTGGGACTGAAAAACTCCTACCTAATAGTTCGAAAAGTTTTTAAATAGAGTAATGTTATGTTTACAAACTTTACAGACTTACCATTTATAGTTCAAATTTTCATTTTAAAATCATTTTAGACTATTTAAATTTTTTATTGAAGTTCACAAATAGTAAATTTGTAAATTTTGTGTTCGGAATTAAGCTCACAACATTTTGTGACCATTTTGTTTGTGAATCTAGTATTTCTCTTTTAAATATGTGTGACTTCATTTACAGAAATAAAACTAATGTTGGCTACATTTTTTTGGGAAAATGGTATAAAAAAATTTGTTTTTTTCCAATAAAGAATTCGAGTATATAGGACTATATTTGAGAAGATGGCCGGAAGATTTTTTTTAATTAAATGATTTCTGTAAACGGATAAGAAGCCCATATCATGTCTAATATTGATAGCCATATTATTCATTAATTTAACATACTAAAACAAGATTTTCAAAAATATCATTCTAGTTGTACACTGTTTATACATTACAACTTTACACTAACACTTTGATTTTCAACTAATGCCAAATATACGTGTGAAATTTTGTGATCGTACTAACATTTTATGTAATTGTGAGCCATCAAAATAATTATGCAAAGCTGACGTGTACAAAATACTACCTCCGTCCCACTCTTTTTGTCCATTTTTGACTTTTGAAACTGTTCATCTAAGCACTTTGACTCATCAAATTCTCTCAATGTGTAAGTCTAAAAACAGTCATGTGTGATCTTGTTTGATTTGTCTTAACATATAGATTATTAATATATAATTTTTATAATTTTTTAATATATAAATTACAAGATAAAATGGATTAAAGAAGTGCATTGGATGGTGTGCAAAAATGAAAGTGGACAAAAAGAGTGGGACGGAGAGAGTAATATACAAAAGTGGTGTACAAGGAGCACTATTATTTTTTTAAAAAAATAGTGGATGAAATGAATGGTGCTTCTATGGACTAAAATGATGGTTTGGCATAGGTGAGGGTTTAACGAATAAAAATCATTTCGAAAAAGGACGAGCCTCATTCCGTAGGGCCTCTTCGGACCCGACCGAACGATCACTGAGAAAAAACAAATTGAACTTTAGTTGCAGATTAGTGGCAAAGAGTAAAGTCTGCACTTGGTACTTGCAAAGGCCATATGTTTAGCATAATTGCCTCCCAGCGTAGTTGTCAAGAATCGAACTCTACTGGGTAGCTTTTGTCTGGTTTTATCCCCTCAGCAGCTTTTGTCTTGCCAACTGCACCACGCCCACCGACATAAAAATCATTTCGAGAGTTGGCCAAACATTTTTTTCCCAAATAATTTAGGGCCATACTAGACACTAGGTACAATATGACACTAGTGTAAAACTGTAAATGCATCATTATTCGTCTCACCACTAATTTACAAATCTGTCCACAATTCTTTTTTTATTTGATTTTCTCGGCTGACTTTTCATCTCATCATTCCAAAATTTTAACCAACAAATCCAAGAAAGTCCATAGATATTTCAACCACGATTTCAATAATTTTAACCTAATCTCCAACTTCAATCATTTTAAGGCCCTTAGTTATTATGTAGGTGCAACAGGTGAATTTTGAAAATAAGCTATACAATGTAGAAATTCAAAAGCTCCAATAGTAGATTATTTAGTCTTGGTCCTAATCAATTTGAATCACATAGATTCTGAAGAACGATATCAAAATTCCAACTTGTTCTTTAGTTGCTTGTGGGTGTCGTCACTAAAGAGCATGCACCCCGGAATCTCCCCTTGCATCAGAACGTCTATCATTGGAGTGAACAAAAAAGGGCTAAGGGGAGACCCCGGTGTAACTCCACCTCCACAGAGATAGGTTTAGAGTCAACCCTAAAAATCTTTACCCTAACTTACCCCGCCATACATAATTTTTACTGCACAAATGTATGCAACCAGAACCCCTCTCCCCTCAAGACACTTTCATAAAACCTCCATTGGCACCCTGTCGCACACCTCGAGGTCGATAAACACCATATATATGAAGATTCTTATACTTAGCTCTATACTCTTACACTGACCTCTGCATGAAGTGAGCGGTCTTTGTGTGATAGAATTTTGGATGGGATATGGATAACTGGATTGGGTAATAAGACACTTGGGCTGAACCACATTAAAAGATTGAATCCAATCGATTAGTTAATTCAACTCAAGGGCTTATATACCGGTTTATATTCTCTCCAAGTTCCGATGTGGGATACTCTTTTAACACTCCCCCTCAAGTGGACAACCGGGCCATTTTGAATCTAACCGGTTGACTACTTGCAAATGAACTCCCATTCCCTTGACTTTTTTTTGAGCGCCAACACCTAAAGGACCACGAGCCGCTGGGTATGGACTTCCAGACGAGCAATCGTGTTAAACAGGCCACAGGCCGTTGGGTACATACTCCATACGAACAACTGGGCTAAAGACTAACGGGCCGCTAGGAATGAACGTCTAGACGGACACCTTGACAAACGAGGTGGGGCAAAACCTGCTCCGATACCATGATAGAATTTAGATTTGGGTATGACAACTGGATTGGGTAATAAGACACTTGGGCTGAACCACATTAAAAAATTGAATCCAATCGATTAGTTAATTCAACTCAAGGGCTTATATACCGGTTTATATTCTCTCCAAGTTCCGGTGTGGCAACTTCTATTATGGTAGTTTCATTATTACTCGTATATCAAGGGTTTCTTTACGAATAAAACTACTTGTACATCAAGGGTTGTACTCCAGGTTGTACACCACATGTGTACACTGACACTTTGATAGTTCACACTCGTATAAATGATAGTGCAATATATTCTTGGTGTACAACTAGTATGGTTGTTTCTTTATTGAGATTTGACCGTACAATCATAGCATGTAACTCAACAAAAAAAAAGGATGAGCCTCATCCCTGACGGGCCCCCTTTGATCCGGTCGGACAGTCACTGACAGGAGGTAAATTGGATTTTAGTTGCAGATTAGTGGCAAAGGATGAAGCCTGCACTTGGTACTTGCAGATGTCATATGCTTAGTATAGTTGCCTCCCAGCGTAGTTGTCGGAAATTGAACTCGGATCTTATCTCATTTGCATCTCTTACCTTGCCAAGTGGACAACACCCGCTCATCCATGTAACTCAACAAAAAAAACAGAAGAAGCAGGTTTTGATTTGATTTATTTATTTATTTATTTTTCAGAGTAGCGTGTTCCCACTAGAGTAACCCACCCTCCAACCCAAAGGCCTCAAACAGAGAGAGAGAGAGAGAGAGAAATAGTGAATCAATCAATTGAATACAAACCAACTTTGGGGGTACCCACCACCACTTCCCCCAAAAATCCTTTCCTCCAAATAATCAAACAAACATGGCCGGAATCAACCCAGCACACCACTCCAAAGACCTTCAGGCCCTTTCTCCCTCCCATACTACTAATAGAGCCGCCCACGACGACGATCCCCCTGCTGAAGGGCAAAACGGGAACACCCCCTCCACCACCACCAATAAGAAGCATCTCGTCAAGAGGAGCTCCAACAAAGACCGGCACAAAAAGGTCGACGGCCGTGGCCGGCGAGTCCGCATGCCCGCCCTCTGCGCCGCCAGGATCTTCCAGCTCACCCGCGAACTCGGCCACAAGACCGACGGCGAGACCGTCCAGTGGCTCCTCCAGCAGTCCGAGTCCGCCATCATCGCCGCCACCGGTTCCGGGACCATCCCGGCCTCCGCCCTCTCCGCAGCCGCCGCCGCCGCCCAGCCTTCCGAACAGGGGAACTCTGTTTCCGCCGGACTAGCCGAGTACAGAAACCACTGGGGGACGCCCGCGGGCACGTGGGCGTCCATACCCGGTTTCAACCCGGTTTTCCCTGGAAACCAAATCTTGACCTCCATGCCCAAGTTTGGTTTCCAGAGTTTCACCGAGTTTCCCAATCCGGGCAGCTTCGGTGCCCATCACCTGCCCGGATTGGAGCTCGGGTTGTCCCAGGAAGGGAGGATCGGGGGTGTTAACTTCCAAACGTTAACCCAATCCTACCATCAACAACAACAACAACAACAACAGATTGGGCAGACTGGGAACAATCATCCAATGAATCATCCAAACGAGTCTCAATCTCAGTAGAGCAAAGTTTTCTTCTTCTTCTTTTTACTTTTGTGTTTATATATATGTGTTGAGAATAATGATGGGATCAAATTTTGATGAAGTTTTGAGTGTGTTTGTAATAATTAGGTAATGTATATACATGCAAGTTGTGTTTGGTTTGATTTTTTTTTTTTTTTTGCTTTCAATAATTAAGGGTGAGATTTTGCAGTTGTTGATGATGGAATTAGTGTTTTGGATTGTGTTTGGATTTTTATGACACTTTTCATGCCCAATTAGAGTTTAATTCTCCCCTTCCCCAAAATGAGTGTTAGTTGATGGTCCAAATTAGAGCGTACACAATTTTAGCATATTCAATAATCCCCTATTAATATAGGTTTTGTGAATATATCTCAGATGATTTGATAAAATTTACTTTCACTTATACTAGTAGAGTAGTGTTGAGTTTAGTTTAGATGGTAAAAAGAATAGATGGCTAATTTTGATTTCAATCTTAAATTTATATGATCTTCAACTACTCTCTCTTTCTTCCAAAATGGATACGAGTGTTATTATTACTCTTATTATTACGGCTAGTTTCTCGATAATTTTTTATTTTGATTTTTTCTAAATGGAAAGAGGAAATGTATGTAAAGGTATCTATATGATCTTCAATTACTCACTCCCTCCAAAATGAATACGACTTTAATTATTACGGCTTCTCGATAACTTGTGTTTCTAAAATGTTTTCGTTGATAATTTGATAAAACAGACCATTCTTGTCAGCTCTTGTTTTGTAATATTTTTTATGTACTTCTGCACAATGTAATTTATACTTTTTACTTATATACTCCCTCCGTCCGGGAATAAACTTCTTACTTTGACTTTTCCTCATTTTTAGTGAGGGCTGATTTTAAGAGAGAAATGTCCAAAATACCCTTGTAGTCTCATGACCCTCACTGCCCTAGAACCCCTGGAGGCTGGAGCACCCACCCCCGCCTCAGTTCCCACCATCGCCCACTCACCACCGCCCCACCCCCGACCGCCGACAGCCCCATCATCACCGCCTCCACCCCGGACCGCCGATAGCCCCCTCATCACCATCAGTCACACAATCGTCCCCACCCACCACCATCACCATCTCTAAGAGAAAGAGAAAAAAGAAGGGGGAGAAAGATGAGAAGAAGATTAAGCACAGATCTAACCAGATCTACCGTAGATCCACCACCAACTCAGCTCCCACCACCGATGTTTAGTCTATTATCGCCATGTAGTCCATCCACTGTCACCTCAGCCTCATAGATCTAGCAGAGATATAAAAGAAAAAGAAGAAGAAGAGGGGGGAGAAAGAAGATGAGGATGAGAAAAAAAAGAAAAAGAAGTGAAGAAGAAGAATCGGAAGAGGAGGAGAAGAAGAATCGACAGAGGAGGAGGAGAAGAAGAAGAGGGGAGTTGGGGAAGCGAGATAGAGATATGGGGGTTTTGGCCGACAAAAAGGGGAGAGAAAGCAAAAAAAGAAATTGAGATTTAACAAGAGGGGTAGTTTAGGAAGAATTGGGATGAAAAGGTAGAGTAGGAAGATTTTTTTCGGATGGGAAAAAAGGTAGAGTAGGAAGATTATTCTTGGACGGAGGGAGTATCAATTTGTATTTACAATGATTTTAAAAGTGAATAGATTTTGTACGTTGTTCGGAATGTGTCATATATCAATTGCATGTGGAACGAAGGGAGTATAGGGCAATCACACGAGCTAAGTCATATTTGATTGTCTCTACACGCATAGATAATTATTGTCCGTGTGTGTCTGTAGACACTAGTATACAAGTACTGTATAACTAGCATAACTTTTCATTGTTTCATACCTTTACTATGAAACCAAACCATAAATTTCTTTAAGTCTCTGAATAAAGTTAGGGCTTAAAACAATAATCAAAATCGAAACTAGTTAATAAAAAATTTAAAAAAAAAATTGATCAAAATTAAAACCGATCAAACGGTCGATGACTTGGCCGGTAACTTTAGTTGTGTATATTACTATATATAAAGCGAAATTGATTTAAAACTGGACAAATCGACTGAACCGTAAATGGACAAAACAAAAAGAAAAAGAATTGGCAAAGTGAAAAGTCTGAAAACACTAGACTAGGTTGGCATGTCAAGGTCGTCATTCACTTTAGACAGTGCCAATTTTCTACGTCAAAGTAAAATTAATTTATTTTAGCTTTGATGATTGGAGAAATCTTTTTAGCTGGCCTCACCTTATTGTTGAAACCATGGGCCTTATTTGTAGCCGCACCTTTCGGCTTTACCCTGCTCTGTCCTTGGTAGGAGTGATATTTAAATGGTCTTAAAGTCCACAATTAAAATGTAGACGTTCACATTTAAAATGTAGATCTTTTTACATTTTTGATAGGCTTGCATGTCGATATTTTTTTTTGAAAAGATTCACTTCTTTTATACTACAAGTGCACTAAAGTCCATATAATAAGCATGGTCCTTAGGTTCACTGAATAATTTACTATTTGTGTACTCTAATTACCTTTATTTTTACGTTTATTTGAAATATGACAAATTGGTAAATTAATCAAAAATAAAATTAAAATAGAAAAATATAAAAATTACATATTAAAAAATTATATAAAAAATTCTACAAAACAAAATAGAGGTGACAAAAATATTTCATTTTATCAAATAATGAATTAAGATACACATATAAGCAAAAGTTAGCGATGCGTGAAAGAAACCAATTTTAATCCATTTTGGGATGGAGAGAATATAGAATAAAGCTAGCTGCAGAGCAACACAGACAATGAAAACATTATGTGCTTATGATCCACAGACGCATAATGTCCGTGTTGCTGGAGTAGAAATGGGACACACCATTTTGGTGTACTCTTAGCATGCCCAAAGAATATAACATTCTTCTCATACAAATATTCTGTGTAAAAAAATATGGTTGGAATTGAATTGGTTAAAAATATATATACTTCCTTCGTCTTAAAATAGGACTCCTGTTTGATTTATGATATTTGGCTAAAATTATTTTCTAATCAACATAAGTAAAAGTTAGTGTACAATTAAAAGTTAAAAATTACACTCCATCCGTTTTATTTTAACAATGTTTGACTAAATTTTTTTTCAAATCAATATAAGTAAAATTTGGTATAGAATTAAAAAATAAAAATTATATATTAAAAAATTTGTATCAAAAGTTCTACTTCCACCATTCCATAAAGATGTTTCCATTTTGATTTTTAGGAAATTAAATGTAGTTTTAATTTAATATTGACTTTCCAAAAATACTCTTAATGTGATTGATAAAAGTAGTATGTGATTGATAGATTATTATTAGTAAAAAGGTATAATATGATAAGTTGGTTAAGAATTATTAAAGGTAAAGTTAGTTTCAATTACTCTGAAGGAGTAAATTTTGATGTTCAATTACATACTCTCAATTTTTATTTAATATTAGTACAATTTAAGAATTTTTGAAACATCTCATTAAGCTAAAATTTATCTAATAAAATCATTTTTATACTAATATACATTACAGAGTATTATTTTTGTTTAATTCAAACTCAAAACTCATTATTTTTGACTCGAAAAAAAAAAATTAAACTTAACAAATATACTGAGACGGAGGAAATACGATGTATTGTGATATCAAATTTTAGGTTGACCTTTTATTTCTTCTCAGTTATCGTCCGATTGGGTCCGATGCGACTTTTCGCGATCGGACTCATCTATTTTTTTCAAAAACTAAAACCGAGAAGAAGCTATGACTCGAAATCCAAGCTAAACAATTAAGCAAAAGCGAAGCAACCAACTTCGAGTTGTGTGCCTTCCATGTCGTGACAGACTTAATTATTTTTAGTCAAATTAAAAAACATCTTGATTATAAATTATGTAAATGTATTTTTTTTTGTGATAATATAAATTTAGTAAAATTGGGTTCGATTTAAAACAAGATTTTGATGTATCAAATTTTGATATATTTAATTATTTGAAATGATATTTAATTTGTGATCAAAGTATTGTACAATACCATGAAAAAGTGAAACTATAGTCATCTTTTTAGGACCAAGAAAATATAATTTTTTTTTATTTAAGACAGGCGAAAACTATTTATTACGCCGTATTTGTTTATTAAAAATTTATTCGTCCTTTGTATCTGCGAGTGTTTGAATAATTTAATTGCTACTACCCCGTACCTTTTAAACTACTACACCAAATACTAAATTTTCCGTATTATTTTCGTCCAAATTAAAAATATTATAATCGTCCAATTTAAAAATATATACTTATAGACAAATTTTAATGTGCACCTAAGATGCACATGAGCATTCTTATCTGATTGTGATGAATGTTATAGAGTATATTATAAATGAAGTCAATACATCGATCTCTATTTAAGTTTTTTGAATAAAATTATTTCAATTCAATACGGAATATATTGGAATATTGATATAAAACTAAAAATAAAATAAAATTTATATGAAAGTACAACGACAACAATATTAGGAATAATAAATGTATTACGGAGTATAAAATAGAATATTACGGAGTACTATTTAATACCTTCCATATATTTATTTATTTATTTATTTATTTATTTATTTATTTATTTATTTATTTATTTATGGATGTATCATTCATTATTCAATAAAAATAATTTTATCAAATTGTATCATACTAAAAAACCTAGCCCTTGTTTTCATGACCAAGCAAATCGCTGGTCTTTGTTCATGACGGTCGGCCGTCTGACAGCATGGCGGCACCGACTGATCTCGACAAGCGTGCCTAAAAGCCATCGTCCATTATCCCTCTCTTTCTCTAAAAATATCCATTATCTCTCTCCCTTCCAAAAAAAATCAAGTGTGTGATAAAAGAACGGAAAATTAAAGTTGCATTTGTCTGTGTTTGTTCTAGAGATTGAGAGCATGGAAAGCGATAAAGAAGCAGAGAACGGCCTAAAAGAAGAAAAAAAACTTTTCATCACTCCAATCGCCAACACTCTCACCGGAAACAATTTTTTTTTCTTCCATTGTTAGAAGTCAACATCATCAAAGTGGCGCAGCGGAAGCGTGGTGGGCCCATAACCCACAGGTCCCAGGATCGAATCGAAACCTGGCTTTGATAAGTTTGAAGTTTTATATTCTTTCATCTAGTTTAATTTTTCCCGTTTAGATTTTGTTGTCCAAAAACTTGTCATCTCCTCTCCTTTATTTTCTCTCTTGAATAAATTGAAAATATTACATCTCTTTTCTTTGTTTGGATCATTCTTTACATTGGGTTTATATTCCATATTCAACTTCGACGCATAAAAATTGTTTTTTGAGCTTTTTGCTAGTGATTCTTGAGTAGAGTTATGCACCAAAATTGAAGCTCGTGGCGGTTGAGTTTGGATAGTCGAAAGTTTGGGGGTGGCATCTTCGGATTTTTTTTTTTCATTTCTTTTTTTTTTTTGCAGTAATAAACAATATAAAAATTGAGGAAAAATAATACTTTTCAATTGAAATATTTATTAGGTGTGAATTTTTTCAATGGACTTATCCAAGAACTTCTCATCTCTTCTCTTTTGATCTTTTTACTACTGATTATTGAGTAGAATTAACAAAAGTTTGGGGTAGCATCCCTAGATCTTTCTTATACAATAACAGCCTATATAAATTAACAAAAAAATAATGATTTGTAATAGACCATTTGTAAAAAAAAATTTATTTGACTGACATTTAATAGACATTTTTGACAAATGATCCTTCAAAAAATAAATCTAAATTATAAAAGATCACACAGATAGTTATTGCTTATTGAGGATAAGTTCAAAAACATCTTATTGAAAGAACTATTTTAAGAGTTCACTCATAAAAATACTACACATATTCTAATATGATTAAACATTATCAAACTCGTTCAATATTTCTAAAAAAGGGTGTAATCTTTTTTCCCATTGTAAATCTTATTATAATCATAATATTTAAACAAAAAAAATGATGAAACTTAAAAGTTCTAATAAGTGTGTTCAGTAGCTAAAGATTTGATGTGAAACTCTGGTTTAGAGCATGAGAGCTTATAATTAATACAACTAGATTGGGTTATTTAAAAACGAAACTGAAAATACAAAAAAACATAAAATTGGCGTCGCCCGGGTTTGAACCGGAGACCTTCAGTGTGTTAGACTGACGTGATAACCAACTACACCACGACACCTTTGTTGTTAGCTTTCGTTTTTATCTAGTCAATTCTGTATGTACGAAGGAAGGAGTGGGTAGTACTAATCCAATTCCAATTTTTGAACTTTTGAACATTACTCAGTGTATTTGTCCAATTTGACTTTTTTTAGTCAAACTGGATAAACTTTGAACTCCAATTACTCTTAATTTATATTGCATATTAGCATAATGAAATATAAATTTGAAAGTTCTTAATACGATAAATCCAATAAAGTCATTTTTATATTAAAATACATTACGATTTTTATTTAATTGAAGCTCAAAGTTTGTCCAGTTTAACTCGAAAAGGTCAAAATGGACAAATACACTAAGACGGAGGAAGTACCATATTTTGTGTTTAGTACATTGTTTGTTTGGTAGAACTCCATAATTGATACAAATTACGGAGTGAGTATTTTTCTATATTTATAATTAAATCAAACGGTGGGGTTCCCATGACATTGGAACCCCATGTCATGGGATGACCCGGGGGCGCTCCGGTGTCCCGTTCGTAAAATTGACAGTTCCTAACCCCTTAACTCTCCTGGTAAACCCCCCACCCTGCCCCGACCCGAACACACCCCTCCACCCCCTTCAATTGCATCCCACAAGTTGATTTTGATTTTCGAGTCAAAACATCTTATAAGTCATTTTTAACTTATAAATCTGTTGATAACATGTCTCGGTTATAAGTCAGAAATTTATCCCTCTTTATTTATTAATATTCTCAAATGACTTATCTATAATTTATTTTATTTAACTTCCTCAAAAAAAATAATTAGCATATAAGCCTCTTATAAGTTAAAAACTACTCCGTAAGGCTATTTGTTATGGGGTTTGACGGAAGTGATGGGTCCCTTCATCGCATCACTTTTTTGTCACGTCCCGTTTTCAAGACCCACAATATATTTTTTTAAATTTTTTATCAATCCACGTCATATATTTTATACTCAATCAAGCCCCCCGTATATAAAACACTGGATTAGTTAACCGTTTGGATTATCACGTGAGTCTTTAAAGTTTATTGGCTAGTTTTATCAAATTTATGAACAAAACAACTAAATTAAAAGAATAATAAATCGTATTTCTTTGGTTGAAACTTGAAACACATATTGCCAAGACTAGACCTAAAAGACCCTATGCAAAAAAATATAGTTGGTAGAATTACTCTTGTACATGAATAAACATATAAGGGAAATTGATGAGGATGAAGGGGAAAAAACATATTTATTTAACAATGTACATGAATATAAATGTGGACATGTGAAGATCCCTACACATATGTGCATCTTTGAAGAAGCCCTTCCTGACACACACCACCTAAATTGAGAGGGACATGTTTTCTGTCCCAACAATTGCTTTACAAAAGCCAAAGCCAAAACCTATACACTCCAAAGAAAAAAAAAAAGAAAGAAAGAAATGGTTGGCCTGTTTTCTCTCATCTAATCCTCGACGCGTTGTATTTCGCCCATCAAGATTCGATTACTCATGACCTTGAAACCTAAGAGGGCAGGATCGATCTGTCTCCCTTTCTTCCCCTTCTTCTTGTTGCTCCGTGCACCCCCGCCCTGGGCCGACTCAGACGACTCTGAAGAAACAACCTCCTGCTGTGTGGTGGCTGCCGCCGCCGCCATCTTCTTGCCGCTAGCGTTGTTGTTCTTGAGCATGTCACTGAATGATGTCTCTGTCGTGTCTGCATCGCTACCAGACACACTTCGCCTGAAACGCGCTGCGTCTTTCTTCCCCCCATGTACATCAGATGCTTGGTTTGCTGCGGTGTTGCTTTCCACATCTGCTTTCCTTGCAACTAAAAATGAGAGAATTGGGACAAGGGTAAAAAAACAGCACTAGACAGACTCCTTTCAAGGAGGAATCATTAAGATGAAAAGAATACCTTCTGAAGCCATTGTATTTGAATAGCTTCTGTTTAAGGTTGCATTGGAATTCAGATCAGATAAGCCTTCTTGGATTGGTGACACGTGCGGGCGTTTCAGTAAAATGTTTTCTGGTCTCAATGCTGGAATGGATTCACTGTCCAAGTATTAAGCAAAACTTACTCAGGGCTGAGAAAAAGTATATACTGCAGTGGTAAAGAATAACATGAACTGTATTGTTCACTTGAAGGATAGTAAGCCTTGGGTCCTTATTACATAAGCAACTCCACCATACTTTCAGTGTGAAAAATAACTATAAGCAGGAATGCAAATCACTTCCTTACCGGTCCTCAGCAACATCAGTCCGGAAATTACCTGCACAAGTCAAATTGACCCAAGATTATTTCATCTTCATTGAGAGGAGTAAAAACTAGATTGCTAGAACTTGAACATACCTCCAGTGACAAGACCAGCCCGCCGTGTGAGAACATCAGCCGGGTTTTCATCCCGATCTAGTCTGAGCAAACCGGTCTGTTGAACTAAACCTTCTCGGATATCCAATCGATGGCCCTGCACAAGTGCACGTCACAATAGCCACATTAGCACTTGACTTTTTAGACTTTATGGATGAGAAAAGACTAATTTAACAAGGACTTATACAATCCCGAAATGGTTAGTTTACCTTGGAGAAATCATTGATTCCAGAAATAAATGCATCATCATCACCTAATGTTCTAGAATGAGATGCGAACGGCAGCTTTTGACTGTTAGCAATTTCTTCTGACACATAACTCTGACGTGCGACACTTGAATTTGAACCATAAGACCCAACAGCAATAGACTGGTTAAGATCCAGCCCTTGCTGAGAGAGACTGCTAAAAGGTTGGTTCGAAGTAAAAGTTCCACCGGTAACTACTGACTGCTCCATTGATGATTGCTGGCCAGATTTCTGATGAAGCAGTTCCATAAGTAACCGCTTAGAATTATCATCATGCGCAGCAGCTGACATCCATAAACTGGAATCTTCAGCAGCCACCCTTTTAACCTCCGCCTCTCGCATTTGCCTCTCGCTAATGCGATTTGCTTGGTGAATTTGGGTATCCATCCATTCCATAGGTAACTGACTGGTGTTTCCGTCAGACCAACGTCCTTCGGCTGAATCTGAGTGTGAACCATCATATTGATTGAGAGGAAAAGGATGGTGAGTGAGATGAGAGAAGACACTAGCAGAAGCGGGCCCACCCATGTTATTACCAACAGAGTTCATTCTTGCATTAGACTCCTGCTGCATATCTAGGTCATGTGCACGAGCCATTGCATTTAAAACGTCCATATTCATCCCACCACCACCCGGCAAAGGCCTAGATCGATCAAATGACAATAATGACCCTTGATCATAATGGCCCTGCTGAAGTCTATCTTGTAACGAAATATTCCGCTCAAGAAGACTAAGATGATCTTCGGGTCTCACCTGTTGCTGTTGAAGAAAATCTAACCCACCGAATCCAGAGCTGGACCGATGATGGCCACTTGGATTTCTCAAAAGCTGACTGTTCTCATCCATTGGTGGCCAAACAGAAGAGAGTTGTCTTTCATCTTCCAATCCCAATCTTCGCCTCAATCCCGTAGGCAACGGCCTCCCATGCAACTGTTCTTGTTGGAGAATGGGATGATGATCCAATGGATGCATCTGACTACGCTTAGCTTGTGATAAAAGTTCCAACAAATTGTTCTGATGCCCGTGAAGTGGGACTTGGCCGCACCTTGCCTGTTGAATGAGATGGTCAATGGAAGGATCAGTGTGCCTCGGATGTTGGGATTGCTGTTGTAGTTCACTTAAAAGTTGGTTTCTCAACACGTGATCTATAGTATTCCCAGGTCTAAAGGAATCAACACGTGATTGCCCGTGGTTTGATTCACGCTGCAAAAATTGTTCAAGTAGCAGCTTTCTAGCCTGAGACTGCTGTTGCTCCTTCATGAGAATTTGTTGTTGCTGAATTTGCTGCATTTGTTGTTGTTGCTGAATTTGCTGCATTTGTTGAAGCTGGAGCTGCCGCTGCTGCTGCTGCCTTTGCTGTTGCAGCTGCCGTTGTTGCATCTTGATTGCCATAAACTGCTCTAAATCGGGTAACATTTGATTGTGCATTACATTCTGAGATACCCCTCTTTCCAGTGTCCCATCATCCAAGTGGACATTATGGGAAGACATCAGATTGTGTGGCTGGAGATGCGGAGACACCATCTTATCTCCTAAATCAAATCGGTTGGGATCTTGGTAGGAGTTAAGATCAGAAAGAGAATTTTTCCTGTGAATGTTGCTAGGCGTCCATGCATCTACAACACCAGTTGACGATTCAGCCAAAGTGCCAAACTGGGATCCCAATCCGGGTGTGAGGTTATATTGAGCCTGGCCGACTCTATTCTCGTTCCTGGTATAAGGGCCCTCAAGTTCAGACCATAGCAAGCCAAATGGATGCAACTTATTGTTATCTCTGTGGTTTTCCAAGCCAGGATCAGACGATTCGATCTGAGCTGAAGGGTGGTTTATCATGTTAATAGGAGGATCACTCGCCATCATTGCATTGCAAATCTGATTGCTGCTACTTCCAGGTCTACCTGGAAAAGCAATTCCTGCATGAAAGAAAAAATAAATCATTCACCATTGACAAATCTTGGAGGAAAACATATACTAAACCACAAACACCTTTAATAGACAACTTCCAAAGCAATAAAGGATTAATAAGATGCACAACAGACCAGATAACTTGTGGGGGGAAACAGGGGCATCCACTGAAGTAAAATGGAAAGAGATAAATCAACTAACCTTCATCTTGAGCAGCAAAATGGCCAAAATCATGGAAGTCATCCTGAGAGTTTGATATTTCTGATGGATGAAAACCGTGATCAGATCTGCTTGGTTGAATACGCTGGGCATATGGACCACCGAAGTCTGATGACTTCCACATTAAGCCATCAATAGCAGCTGATGAACCAATAACAGAAGAGGCAGGATCTTGTATATTAGATTCCAGCTGGTCCACCACATCTTCAGATTGATCGAAACTAGACACAGGACCAGTAACTCCAAGATTCCCATGTCCAACTCTTAGGTGTGGCATTACATCGCCTAATTCTAAAAAGGGAGAGTTTTCTGAAGCACCTTCCAAACGAACAGGTAAATCTGTCCCAAAAAACCCTTGTTCAAACCATGATATAATGTCAACCCCAAGAAATGGGCCCTGGATTGCACCTTGAGGATCACGATAGTACAAACTTAACTTTTCAGGTGGGATAATCCTCCCAAATCGGTGTTCATCATTGCAAAATCCTAAGCTTAGATCCGAAGAGAATATGGATGTAGAATCATCAGGAAGGCTAGAACTGGCATCAAAAGCTGATGTTGCTTTACGGGAGTGTGTGCACTCAAGCTCAGAAACACCAATATCATTTGAGCTGGCAATCATGTCACTAGTTACGTCTGGCATATTCTCATGTGTCCTAATAGCTTCAAGATCTTCATAATTTCCTTCTATATCTGAGATTAGACACATCTAAATCATGAGCTGTTAAGCTATTAAATCAAGGTCAGAGTCTCATTCTTAACTTACCACATGAAAATGTCTTAAGGCCTTTGTTAGAAAAGATGCTTTGTGCAGCAGATTCTTCAATATCTTTTGAATTTTTGGGAAAAGGATCCACCGTGTTGTCTGCCTCGTCTGTCAGAATCACGGCTGGTTTTCCACTCACATGTTCAACATCTTCAGGTTCTACTAGGAAAAAAAAACCAAAAATGTCAATATCAAACACATAAAAAGACACATATTCACATGTATGTATAAGAGCATCTCATTTTGTGAGGAATTGAGATGCACTTGAATGTATCCTATCCTATTTATATAAAAAGATCGCATAAAATGTCAGCTTGAAATAACGTGATCCGTTAATAATGTGTTTAAGAGGAACTTACCTGTAATACTGTCAGCTGGTTTTCCCTTTCGAGATGAAGCATATGATGCACCACTGCTACTGACCTTACCCTTCCATATATCATTAAGAATTTCCTGTAAAGTTGAATCAGTGCCCATGAGCTTTCAATTGAGCACTGAAGTTGCTGTTTTTCATGCAATATAGAGCAGAGCATATCAAGTAAATAGAACATGTACTAATGATGTTACCTGCTCTCCAGGATCAGGAGCAACAAAAGCTAAGGGTTCGCTCGCAGTTGCTTGAGTGATGGGAGATGCTTCTTCCATATCGTCAAGGACACTATCAAAAGATGCAACAATCTTTTGCCTGCGGTATATGTCAAGAAGCTTGCCCCTAGGATAACAAAATGAATTGGCTCCAGTGCTTGGTTTTCCGGGCACGCTATCGGTCTTTTCAAATTTTGCAGAACCAATTGCACCACAAGTTCTCTGAACTGACCCATTAGATCGCCCACGCCCTACAATGAATCCAACATATGAACCCTCTCCACGACCTCTCTCAATTCCAAATCCAGGAGCAGCACGGTATGTGCCAGATCCCACAGTATTTCCTTCCATTTTATGGCGTGGGCGCCATTTGTCCCGTGCATCCGACTCCCGTTCAGAAACTGACCGGTTAGAGACAAGTGGTTGACTCTCAATGTGTGCATCTTCTTTCTCACCATCCACTTTTTTCTCTGTACGAGCTTCCTTCTCTTTGTCATCAGGACCCCATCTAGAAGTCCACTTCGCATCACGGCGTGTTTCGGTACTACTATTTCGATTACCAGCCTCATGCCACTTATCAGAGGTAGGCAATGATCTAGCTTCAGTTGTTTCCCTGGCAGCAGTATTTTCACCAACACGTCGATCTGTTTTCCTGCGGTCTCTTCGACCAAGCAGGCTTGTTTCCCTCTCTTCTTCACGCCAACGTGGACCATTCTCACTCTCTGTTGTGGCCCTCCTCCAATCCTTTCTATCATCAGGTGCATCCAATCGTCTGTTTTCCTTCTGAATTATATCCCCAGAACTTCCAAGTGAAAGAGCACTTGGTGGACGCATATCCTATGACACGATAAAATGTCATAGAATAAAATGTAAATGATTGGAAATAATGAAAACATCCCATGAATTGAATGTGGAGCTATGAAAATAAATATACAGTATAATCCATTATTTCAAGACTGTTGCTAACGCACAGTCATGCATTGACCAGATAGCATTATTTCAAACTAAGCATTCGTAACTGCATATCTGCAGTGCAAGAAGGCAATGACACTGTTGCCAGAACATTATTTGTACTTAATTCAAATGGCATCTTTTTCTCTATGCAACCGTTGTTTGCACATTCTTAAAAGTAGCATTGTGTGGAAAGTGCAGCAATCATCTAAAAAAACATCGGACATCCACTTAATAGATGAAAGCGCGTGTGTTATCTGAAGGAAAATAACTTACTGCTTTGGAATCAGTTGGCTTAGCATACAGCCACTGGGGAGACAAAGGGATGTTATCAGGTACTGCTTGATCTACAAACAATTGTCAAACATGGAAAAGAAGATAAGCATATTGCTATGGAACAGATTGTTAGACAAAACAAAAAGACTAATAGTGTTATATACTTATCGCGACAATCTAAAACAACAAAGAAAACAGCAGTCAAAGACAATAAAATATGTAAAGTGTTACCCTTTGACACATCAAGGAATCCCATCAATGACTTGTCTTCAAAGTTACCTGGAAGTCAATAAAAACTAAATAAAATACATCCCAACAGTAAGTAGACACTGAAATTACCATACAACATGAAGAAGGTGACTAAAAATCCAAACAAACAATAGAGACAGTTTGCCAACAACTTTCTAATCACAAGTAACCATATCAAAAAGCCTAGTCGATTAACAGATGAGGCAAGAGCGCCCTAGAGTACCAGGGTTATCATTCAAGAAGGTAAAATTCTCATGAAATATCATAGCAAAAAAAGCCATGTAATTACTTCAACAGAAGCGGAATTTCTCTACAAGTAACCAAAATTAGACCTTTCCGCACTCAAGATTTCGACCACATTAGAAGAAAGAAAACAAAATCAGATGAACCAATTCCAGGCGGTGTCTGATCTGAAACCCTATAAATCAAGTCCTCATTAACTAAACTCTAGTGGAAAGTCACACCACTACCAGATCAAAGATCTCCCGCAATTCGAAACCGAATCTAACTATGCCGAAACCCAGATTAACAAAAGAAAATTAGGTAAACCAGTGGGAAGTCAAATCAAAGAAAACCTTTAGAGTTCAGAGTCTGATCGGAGGGATTGGATGCGAGATCTTCGGGTAGATCAATCTTGCCTTGAGCCATCGGGTTGCAGAGAAGTCAAGAACGGCTAGAGAGGTGAAACTGAATCGAACAACGGCTCGGGAGGAGCCCGAGAATTGGACCGGTGAGCAAGAGAGTAGCGCGATTGGCAAAATATAGAGATGAAGGAGCGCGAGGGAGTAAGAGAAAGAGAGGGGATTTTAGGGTTGACACAAAGCTCTGAAGAGGATACAGATGAGAGAGAGAGAGATGAGGAGAGTGTGAGAGAGATGGGGGGAGGGGATGCGTGAGGGTAAGGGCGACCAACTCAAATCTCCAAAAAGACCTATTGTACCACCACATCCATTAATTTTAGGGTGTTTGTTTTTTCTGGAGGAAAAGGTCTGCAGTCTGTGGACTGTAGACATCTGAAGGAAAAGTGGTGGACCGAAGATCTGCGATCTGCAAGAAGAAGACTGTTTGTTTTTTAATGTCTGTAGACTGCTATATAAATTAATGGTGGTAGTGTACGGTGGTGGTGGACGTTGACAGCGGTGGTGGTGGACGGTGGTGGTGGCGGTGGATGGTGGCGGTGGTGGTGGACGACGATGGTGATGGACGGTGACGGTGATGGTGGACGGTGGTGATGGTGGTGGACGGTGGTGGTGGTGAAAATAAGTAGAAGAAAAAAAATGAAGAAGATGTTAGCAGACATAGGTTAATGTCTTCTCCAAGAAGATGCCAGGAAGACCTTTTTGAGTGAAATGTCTTCCAAAAAAACAAACAATCTGCAGAGCTCAGCATCGCGCGTCTGCGCCGCGCAGACAAAAGATGCCAGAAGCTCTTCTGGCCTAAAAACAAACACCCCCTTAGTGTTTAACTCCAATTTTTAAAAAAAAATTACACTATTACTTCCTTATTCATAAAATCTTCTTGTTTTACCTTTTTTGTCATAAATAGTAAAAAAACTTATCTATAATTATAATGTAAATACGGAGTACAATATTATTAACCTCATCTTAAGACATAATTTTGTTATATAATTTTTTAACATTGATAACTCCATTATAATATGAAACATACTCCGTATAATATATCTTTATACATTCTCAATTCATTAAGCACATAAAATAATTGTTTCAACTATGGAATAAACTTGTGAGCTCCCACATCATAGACTCACAATCATATCGCTACCAAAAGAACTTTGACTATAAATGATTATAACATTTAGTTTATACCCAGTGTCACATTTGACAAAAACAAAACAAAACAAGAAGGATTTTTTTGAACGGGTGGAGTTTTTTTACTTTTGTCTTTTAAAATGAAAACGATTTGATTCACGCTCTTTTACAGTGATACTACAATACATTGTCTCAATTTAAATCGTCTGATTCGCTTTAAGATGTTTGACTACAGTTATTTTCAATGTAATTTATTAGAAAATGTTGACAAAATTAAGAAATAAACTTTGCATATTAAAACATTATATTAAAAGCTATAGAAAAAAAAGAAGTGACATTACTATACTATTTTATCAAATGAGTAACGAACGTAATTGAAGTTTGATCATTTGAAGTAAATATCCCACTTAATTTAGGACGGAGAGAATAATACTTAACGATACTCAAGAATAACCAATCCAATGAATCCATTCAGTATCCGGTATGATTTGGAAAATAGCTATTTAAATAGTATTTTTTTAACTTTCAAATATTTGAAAGTGGGCATCCAAAATAGATCGGACATGAATTAAAACTTTGGAACTTCGGATATCCAAAAAAACATCATTAGATTTTATTGGCATTTCAATCTGTTGGATCTTTTAGATTTAACCATGTTATGTTATTTTTTTTGGAGAATTTACTTAAATAGCACTAAAACATAATGACTTTCCTTAAATAGCATCACATGTGTTTTTCTTCCCAATGTAGTACTTTTAGTCATTATACATTAGTCATTATTCAAGGAAATATTCGTCATCACTGGACATTATGGACATTATTAAGTGCTATTTAGGGAATAAAACAATTTAAGTGCTATTTAGGAAAATGACTTAAGTTTTAGTGCTATTTAGTGCAAATATTTCTATTTTTTAGACAGGATTTCGGGTTTGAATTAACCATATTATATTCCAAATAGTTTTGATTTCAAGTTCTAACTTTCCTGTCATATTTTGTCCACTCATTTTAAAATTTTCACTCCTTTCATAATTTAAATTTCATAAGTCGTCAATATCATTTTTGATTCACGAGTGGTACCGTTTTCAGCTTATAATCTTTCATTATGATTATATTCTCATCGCTATTTGTCTTGTTAAAGTGATTTTTTTAAGTCCGGAATTTAGGATAACCAGACGTTAAATGTCTAACAAAAATTAGATCGGATATGGGATGAATTTTGCTCAATTTGATGCATTTGGATATCTGCATTATCGAATCGGATTGATTAACACCCCTGATAACACTAGAGTGAGTCATTGACACTATCCTTTTAGAGCATCTACGATGCTCCATCCGTAAAATAAAAATTATCTAAAATAGGAGTTAAACATAAATTTTATCACCAAAATAACAATGTCATGTTTTTTATCTCTAAAATAATACTTTGTATTATGACATTGTGACATTGTGTATTGGCATTTCATAATGTTTTAAATTATATGTTGATATTATTGTTATTGTAAGTCTTGTTTTAGAAACAAAAATATGGAGATCCTATTGTATTTTATTTTTTCTATATTTTACTCATGTGTTGGATGATTCTTAACTCCGAGCCCCCCAATATTCCTACCAAAAATAATAATTGTTGTAAATCATCGAACTAAGGGAAAGGGGGCTAGGAGTTTATGAGTGAATATGAATCTTCAAATTAGAAAAATAAGCATCATAGGTGCTCGAAAATGAGCCGATGTCACCATGAGATCTATGTCAACCTATCTTTACCATTTTGAAAATTTAACTACATAAAACATACATTATCCAAAAAATATCGTAAATTCTCAAAATGATACTCTATAGCTATATATTTCCCAAATTTGTTTATAAGATCGAAGAACTAATTACTGAGATGGTATTTGTTAATTGAAAATAATGTTCAGTTTAGTCCACCGACTAACTGCCGTCAAAACAAAATCAAAACGACATTAAAACTTATACTATTTCTCCAAAATGTTAGTTTGTAATTGGATATTTTCTCGAATTAATCCATTTTTGAAGTAAAAACTCATTAAATACGAAAAACAAAAGTAGTAGTCTTTGGTTTACGATGTTTGAGCAAAGTCAGGAGACCACTTTTTATGAGCTTTTATTTCGAAAATGAGCTAATTTGGAAAACATTAAATTAGAAATGATCATTTTGGAAAATAAGTATAAGTTTCAAGGGGCGACAACCCCTCGCTTGAGAATTTTATTTAGGACATTGTTCTTTTAGATTTTCGTAGCTGGTGTCAAAATAAGGAAATAATAGAATGTATGATACTATACATTCGAATATTAACGATAACCACTAGAAATTTTTGCAAAAAAAAACATACATTCAAATGTTTAACTTAAAAAATTTGAATATTTCGCAATTACACGTGAGGATTCATGCAAATAATCGCAGAACTTATAGCTGTTACATGCATTCAAATATTCTAGCTCGAGCATTCGAATGTTACTCGATATGTCATGTTTTCTCGCATAATAGACATGCATGTTTGAATTTTTTCCTTATATATATGGAGTATATCTTATGTTTAATCGATGCAGAACGTCTACCTTCATTTAAATACGTACATCTTATCGGATTGATGTATTTGAGTATACCTCAAAATAACTTTAATCTGAAAGTGTGTTTCAAACGATTCAATGATTCTGTCAAATTTAGTTTCTTTATGTTCTTTATATATTATTCATTATAGCGCTGCGACGCGGCATTGTCTCCCTTTTTATGTTTTTCAACAGATATTAAAATTACTCCTAACGTTATTTTTCTAAGAGTGAGAAGATGACATGTGGGACACATTTGAGAAAAAGAAGGCAGACGTAAAAAAACGGGGTTAATTTAAAAGAAGACGCATTTCGTTCTTAGTACATTAAATGTTGTTTAATTTATGTGTTGAACTTTTCGATGACCGAGGTCATAGAGGCCGAGCCAATAGAATTAATAAAAAAACGGTGCAAGTAAGAAAACGATGACTACATTTAAAGTGGTCACCTCAGTAGTATTTCTGACTCTTTCTTCTATGTCTATCAAAATATTAAATCTGCAAGGTTACTGTGGGACACATTTGAGAAAAAATATATGACCGAGGATGTTTCTAGCAAGAAATCTATGTCATGGATACTAACTAGCGCGAGAGGGAGATCATTGGGGGCCGACCGGTGTGGGGCAAATGGTGGATGGCAGACTTATAGCGGAAATGATTCTGAATGGGGGGACAACACGCAGAAATGCTATCACTCCAATGACACACAACTTTATTTCCAAAAGACAAGGTCTTGAAATTGCGAGTCAGTTTATTTGCTGCAATGACAAACAAGAGATTATGTTTCTTCATGATGCATTATTTGCAGAGACATTCTTATTTAAGGAAGCCATCGTTGGAGTGCGTGCACGAGAGAATCATGGAGGTGAGTTTTTCTCACTCTTAGACTATACTTTCTTCTCATCATATATAGGTTTAGTGTTTTTGTTTTGCTAATTTGTATTCTTTTTCGATTTGTAAATGTTTCTTTTATTTGGTCGTAGTTAAAATGTGATTGCTCATACTTTGAATTAACTTATGGTAACATAATCTTGTTCATTGGAGGGTAAAGTTTTGAGAATTTATTTATGGGCAAATGATATGGTTCAACGTACATCCCCCGTGATACATTATAACACACTTGTCAATTAAATGTTTCAAAATGAACATTATTATATTTTAGAATAAATACAATTTTGTTTTAAAACAAACATGCCACATTACATTATTTTAAAATAAGCAATATGTGTATCTAATTCAAAAGAGAACAAACATTCAAAAAGAAACACAACGAAGGAAAACAAACATTCTCTTCATTCAAAAGAGAACATTCACCATGTGTATCTAATTCTACAACCTATATAGAGGTCGGTGAATGGTATACATCTTCTCATTAATGTGAACCTTATTTATGTTTAAAAAAAAGTCCCAAAAATTTCTTAAACCATCAAAGACTATGCTGATGAACCCAGAAGATCTCCATATTTAAAATAGCACTTTTAGAACAAAAACATGCTGATGAACCCAGAAGATTGATAAAAAATGAAATAATATAGAAAGCTTAATGACATCACATCATTAACAAATCAAAGAGGAGAGTGTTTCTTCTTCATCTTCTTCCTTCTCATCTTATCACACATGAAAGCTTTTTCCAGGTGCTCCACCCGCTGTGTTAGGGCGTCAAGCATTAACATCTGCGTTTCATTCCTCTCAGACAACTGTGTCATCAAACTCATCATCTTCCCATTCTCCTCCATTATCCTCTCCAGTATTTCTCTGCTTTTCTTGTCTTCATCTCTCCCCTTCCCAGTCTCTGTCGCATCTAGCTGTACACCTTCTTCATGAGTCCCTGGGCTGGTGGACTCAGGAACAAATCCTCCGGCCAATTGCCCTTCGTTTGATTCATCATTCTCAAAATCGGGTTTCTCTTCATTAACAGGGGAATTTTCTTCTACAGGAATGTCTCCGGATTGATCTGCTACATGAAATTGAGCAGAATTGTCAGATTGATCAGTTTGCAGCTCATTCTCAGACGAATCGCTGGTGCGTGTGGTTCGATCAATGGATTCGGAAATCTGAGAATCAGGAGAGTCGCATACCATAACAGCTTCTTCGTTGTTTCCATCGCCATCCTCATCGGCACCATCAGTTAGGGTTCGAGGGTTGGAGCTAACAATGGCGTCGATCCTCTCCTGTAACGCGATGGCCTTCCTGGTCACAGACTTCCTGCAATCCCTAATTCCAGAATAGATCCCGCGAACGGAATCCAGTTTGAAGAGGAGAGACATTAGCATCTCGTTCAAGCGGATCCTCTCCCTCTCGTCCTTCCTCAGCAGCTCCACCGTCTCCCGCTGCGAAACCACCCGATCGATCTCCTCCACCTCCCGCCGGACGGAAATTATCCGATTCATGCTCCTCCGCACCAGAAACCCCCGGAGGACCTTCTGGATCTTCAGCGCGGAAGCGGATCGGGTGGATTCCGAGGGCTCCGATCCGACGAATCGAACAGGGATCTGAACGACCTTCGGCCTCTGTTGAACCTCGTGGATGGGATGCTTCGGCGCGACCTCCATCGGCTTGTGCTGGACATCGTGGATGGGGTAGCTGTTCGCCGGCGGCGGGTAGCCGTGATGGAAGAAGTTTCCGAATGGGGCGTATGATGATCTCACCATTGCTGTAATCTCTTGCGTTTCAGTTGTTCTGAATCTCGCCGGGGATTGCCAGTTTTGGAGAGATGTATAGAAAGGGGAAGAAGAAGAGGGAAATTCGAAGAGGTTTCTAGAAGCTGCCGGAGATCATTTTAGAATCCTTCTAGAGTTTTGTAGATATACTCCGTAGAATTTTTGTATTGGGCCATCGTTCAAAGGCATGGGTTGGGCCTCAGAGTCCAAACATGATCATTAGACCAATTTACGAGATTTTTTTTTAATACGGAGTATTATGCTTTTAAGATTATTTTTTTTTAGAATTTTGTAATCAATTGAAGTTAAGAGAAATAATTTATCAATTTCCAAGAGTTAATTTGAAAATGAAAAATTCTTCTATATTCCTATGATCTACAACTATTTTATGGATTTTGTTATATAAACATCATAAATGAATTGAGCTTTTTGAAAAAAAATAAAAGATTTCATGTCATTTCACTAAGATCTAATCTCAAATGTGCATTTTAGGATCATTGTTTTCAATTAATTGGCTATATTATTGCTTGAACAAGACATGATTTTTTGTTTATTACTCTCTTCATCTAAAAAATGACATGTTTCAACTTACCAAATTTAACCCAAATTATTTTCAATACATATGTTTGAAAAGTAGTGTATAAGTTTAAAATAAAAAGTATTTTGTGTATATTTTAAAACTAAATTAGAAATTCTATAAAAACAAGCGATGTCTCAATTATTTTATTTTATCAAATAATTAATACAGAGTAACAATTTGCAAAAAAATGAAAAAATTGAAGGACGTATCAATCCCGAGTAACAAATGCAATTGCTAACATTTGCTAATTGCTTAGATCATACGGAGTACTCTTGTTCCATTGAATTTTACATCCGGTTTCTGAATCTGTGATTCCAAATTGATATGGTTCTCAATTTATTATTTTAAATTATTATGTTAGTGCAATAAAATACTACATCCTTCCCACAATGTACTATCTCTTTATTATTATGAATTCTCAATAACTTTTATTTGCTTCTATGTCTTCGTTGATTATTTGATAAAGTAAAATAATTTTGTCACTCGCTATTTTGTAGAATTTTTATGTAAATTTTAAATATATGATTTTTCTTGTTTATTTCTATATCAATTTTTAATAAATTTATTCTAAAACATAATGACTTTCTCAATATAGGACCAAATGCTTTTATTTTCCAATGTAGGACCATTGGTCATTATCTATATATTACTCATTATTCAACTAAATGTTCAGCATCACTTGGATATTATTCTTCTCACTAGGCATTATTAAGTTATATTTAGGGAATAAAAAAATTTAAGTCCTACATTGGAAAATGACTTATGTTTTAGTTATATATTCTATGCAAATTTCACAGAATGTAATTTATTTAGGGACGGAGATAGTAAATAAGAAAATTTGTTTTTTATTCCAAACAAGCACTTGGGCCGAGCACGCCTATTGGGCCCAAAACATCCAAAGATTCTCACCCATTATTTTCTTTCTCCTTTGAGCCGCCTAAGTTGGGCTTCATATCATCTTCCTCCACATTCTCCCGTTCAATATATCCACCACCGCGCGATTGAAATTTAAAAATAAAATTTACATATTTAAAATTAATTTAAAAAATTTAACAAAACAAAATGTAAAGTGAAAAACGTATAAATAAAAAAATGTGATAATACAACATCTAAATTAATTTTTCTTGGGGTTTCTATTCATGGAAGTGGGATTGCCATCAAATAACCCTTCAATCAATGTCTCAATATCCTCAGATTGATACTTCATATACCTATCAACATGCTTTGACCCATCAAGATGATGTTTAAACTTCCCCAAAAAGGAGCGGTACGCAGGAATGATGACGCCGGAGATCGAGACTCGGAGCTCTGACTGCAGCTGCTCGTCATTTACCACCCAGCTGCTCTGCGTTTTGTGTATTTCTTCCATGGTATTGCTGAAGTTCTTGAACCTCTCCTTCAATGCCTCCTTGTTCACCTTCCCTCCGTTTTGCACTAGCCCATCGTGCTTTAGAATTTGCAACACCTAAGAATATTTGAAAATAACACAAATGCATATCGATTTAGGTTGAATACCGTTCGTCTGATTTGATTTTTTTGAAAATTTAGTCTGATTAGATCTGATCTATTGAAATTATATTTGCTTTTGGTACGCCTGATCTGATTAGATCTGATCTGATTTTTAGAAGGGCTGATCTAATCCAATTGGATCTGATCTGAGCTCATCACATTGGATCTGATATGATTTTAATAAGAATAAATAATACTCTGTAGATCGAAAAAATAAATTATAGCCTTAAAGCTGCTCCTAATCTGATGTAATCGTAATAAGTATAAGCAATAAATAGAAAAAATAAAAGGAAAGGAAATATTCTTAGAGAGTATTTTCAAAACTTGATTTTAATGCCAAACGTATCCTTAGATATGGAATGTAGGGCTAAACGCACCTTCCCCCATGTTTCTCTTTGGTAGTTCTTATGGAATTGCCGGACATCAGTAGACCGCCTCCGGTAGACGGCGTCGCCAATAGCTTCGCGTATCTCCGGCGAGCCTTTGATTTTCTGCAATATGTATCGGCCGTTGTTCATGTGGAATATGAGCCGGAGGGAATTGTCCTTGTACAGATTCGATTTGGCTTCCAGATTCGCGTCTAAAAGCTCCATCGTGTTCCGCAGCTGAGCCGAAAACGGCGAAATTTCGCCTCCGTCGCCGGCGTGCTTTCTGAACATTTGCTCGAGCGCGGGCTTGAAATCGCACGCGTTTATCAGGTAATTCATCACGTAACGGGTGAGCGGGTGAACCGCGCCGCCCGGCACCTGGTTCCGAGCGACGTCGTTTTTAATGGATGTGTCGAAATCGGAGAAGATTTTGACGGATGCCTCACCGATCCGGTCCCCGGCGGCGAGAATCTCCGACGTGATCTCGTGGTCGGACTCGTCCGAGCATCCGTCCCGAATCGCCGGGATTAGGCCCCGTACCGTTTCGTACATTTCAAGGAATTTGAACAATTCTTCCGGAGAACGCTTGGTCTGGGCTACCACGTCAGCAAAGTCTAGAAGCTGAATGACCACGGCTCGAGCCAAGTTGTTGAATAGGCTCCCAGAGATCATGGGATGGTCAGAGAAGGCGGCTTCTACTAGCCGTCTTTCTCCTATGAAAAGGATCTGAGAGCAACTTTTTGTTGCTCTCAGCCATTTCGTGATCTCATCTTCTAGCGAATCTGAATCCATCTTTTCTACATCGCTTGAGTTATGAATTTTCTCGAATCCTAATTTTTTCAACTCCCTTGCAAAAGTGTTACGACGACAAATCGAGTATACCTGGCAACATTCAGTCTCGTACCCGCCCGAGATCATGACCGTAGCTATCCGGTTCATTCTGGTCACGACCTCTGGCGGGTACGGCTCGTAAGGACCGTCCCTTTCTCCTCGGGCCCCGCTTTCATCGTCGTTTCCGAAATCTTCTAACAAGATTCATAACTCGTCTTCCAAAAACGTCATGCCCCGTTGCAAGACCATGTCCGCCGAGGAAGACGACGGCGACGGTGACGACTGCACTGCATCATCCGTGGACGGGTCACGGGTCGGTACGGTAAATTTCGATACCCGCGTGACGGCCTCGTAGAAGAACGAATCGTCCTCCGTCATTTTACCGATCTTGGCCCGAGTGTCGCCGGACGACAAATTTCCATCATCGTACTTTGCGATCCTAGACTTGATGATTTTGATGAAATGTTGGACGGTGTCGGGAACTTCACCGCCGCCATTGTCGTTGTGTTCTTGATCCAAAATGTCGTTAGTTTCATGTTCATCGGAGGTTTTTTCCATTTGAGCATAGAAATTGGGAATATGGTGGAAAGAAAGTTGATAGAATTATTTGTGAATAATGGAAGTTTGGCATTTGACCCGATTGAGAAGCTAAGGTGTATAATTTACTCTTTATTTTTGTGGTCACATAATGGTTAAAATAAATACGGAGTAAACCATAGTTTCAATAATTAAACCATAGTAAAAACCAACTTTAATAATTAAAACAACGAGTATCACAAGGAACAAAAAGTTATACTCCATAGCTTATTATGATATTATACGTACAAAGTACTGTCTTAAAACAACGAGTATCACAAGGAACAAAAAGTTATACTCCATAGCTTATAGTACACATAGAAACGAACGAATAATAAATTAAACATTAATTTTTTAAGCGGCACAGACGACGGCGATTGGCGGTTGCTCCCCGGCGTGGCGGCCGAGATGAGCTATTACAATATCATCAAAACTGGGGTTTGGCGGAGGAAGAGGCGGTGGTGGGGCAGTGAGAGTATCCGTGCATTTCTCTTCTTGGCTATTCTCACTGGTCACTGCCACTGCCGGCTTTTCAACTCCGGCGGCGGGGTTGTTGGAGGAAAAAGAGCGGAGTTCCTGGTCGGAGGTTCCCGGAGGCACCTCCACGTTTATGACGTGATCGGCGGCGGCGGCGGCACAACCCTTTTTCTCGTCCACCACCTCAGCTGGCATCTTCTTGTTTTTGTAGATTCCGTACAATACCATTTGTAGCATTCCTAGTACAAATCCCAATACATTTGGTATCTGGAAAGTTCAAATCCGTATGAGTATAAAAAATTTCTAGAACTACCATCCCAAATTTCCGGCCTAAATAGCATAATATCTATAATATCTATGGTGAATATTTACTCGAATAATAACTAATAGATAATGACTAAAAATGATATTTTGAAAAAAAACACATGTAATATTATTTAGGGAAAGTAATTACGGATTTACGGAGTATGTTTTAATACTATTTAATTAAGTAAATTTCCCATTATTATATATATATATATATATATATATATATCGAGAGCTGGTATACTTACAGCAATGCACATGTCCTTCAAGAGTAAGCCATAGCCAAACCACATGACAGCGGTCAAGGTGAGGAAGAAGGACAAGTTGAATGGCATGAACTCTACGCTTTTTGTTTTCACCACTTGGAACTGATCGATGCAATAATAATAATAATAATAATTAAATTATGAAAAAACCCATATTTTTTTAACAAAAATATTATGAAAAAACCACACATATTTTTTTCTCATAAAACATCATAAAAAACAAGTGGAATTAATAAAGGAGAAAATAATACTCCCTCCGTCCCAAAAAGATTTACACGTTTCAAAAAAATTGTGTCCCACAATCCCTTACCCATTTCTATTAAAAAACCACTTTTACTCCTTACTTTTTCAAACCCTACCTATCACATCATACCTTTTTCCTAATAATCTACACATCACATCCTACTTTTACCCATCACATCAAGGGTATTTTTGGAAAGTCAACACAAAATTATCTCTCCCTTAATTTCAACTTTAGTCAAAATGGGTAACACTTTATGGGACGGAAGTAGTATATATACGTACCAATATACTGAGTGGAGCGGCAAAAACACATACGGAGAAGGCAACACAAATCCAGCCAACAACGCTGACACGAAGGGTGCCTTTAAAAGGAAACATTGTGACCAGCAAAATCACGCTATACAGTCCTCCCACCAACAGGAACAACATCTTCACTGTTTGACGCTGCAAATTAAAATTCGCGTTTTAAGCATGCGATAAGTTTCACAATACATATGCTCCTTATTTAGTTCCTTTTTTAGATAGGTATCACCCACGCCTATGTTTGGAACAACATTTTTGATTACGAGAATTTACCTATATATATATATATAGTACTAAAACGTAATAATTTTCTCAATGTAATACTCCCTTCGTCTCATAAACTCCTTCACATTTCAAAAAAATCGTGTCCCTAAAAGCCTTCCCATTTCTATTAAAAAAACCACTTTTACCTCTTACTTTTTCATACCCTACATATCACATCATACCTTTTTTCTAATAATCTACATATCACATCCTACTTTTACCCATTACATCAAGGGTATTTTTGGAAAGTCAACACAAAATTATCTTTCCTTATTTTACCACTTTAGTCAAACCGTCTCTATCTTTATGGGACGGAGGGAGTATCATAGATTTTAATTTTCCAATGTAGTATCACTATTCAATGTACACTGAACATTGTTCAAAGTAAACATTCACCGTCACTAGACATTATTCCAATACTATTTAAAAAAAATAAAATTTTTTAGATACTATCATGGGAAAGACATACTCCCTCTGTTTTCAAAAACAATTCATTTTTCATTTTTTTCAACTTCCAACAAAACATTTCTACTTTCTGTTAAAAAACTACTTTTATCTTTATTTTTTCATACCATATGCATCACATTATACTTTTTCTCTAATAGTCTATCTATCATATCAAGGACAAAATTGAAAATTAACTACAATTTACCTTATTTTTACACTTGGTCAAAATTGGAACTTTTTTTGTAAACGGAGGGAGTATGTTTGAGTACTATTTAGTGCAAACCAAACTCTTTTAGTTTCGGCATTTTAATTTGGATAAAAGTTTAATTTCGAAAAATACTAACGCTAAAGACTAACGCTAAGACCGTTGCCAAACGGGGGACCAGATAAACTAAATATGAACAAATGAGAAGCTAGCTCTTAATTAGTACTCCCTCCGTTCCACAAAACCCTTCCTCTTTCGTTTTTTTGCTTTCCACAAAACACTTCCACTTTCTATTAAAAAACCACTTTTATCCCTACTTTTTTATACCTACCTATCACATCATACTTTTTCACTAATAACCAAACTATCACATCTTACTTTTTCCCATCACATCAAGGGTAAAATTGGAAAGTCAACCAAAATTACACTTTCCTTATTTTTCCCCAAAATCAAAACCGGAAGGGTTTTGTGGAATGGAGGGAGTATATATGTATTTGAATAAGAGAGCCATATACTACCTCCGTCCCAGAGTATTTGTCCACTTTCATTTTTACACGCCATCCAATACACTTCTTTAATTCATTTTATCTTGTAATTTGTATATTAAAAAATTATAGAAATTATATACTAATAATCTATATGTTAAAACAAATCAAACAAGATCACACAGGACTATATTTAGGCTTACACATTGAGAGAATTTGATGAGTCAAAGTGCTTAGATGAACAGTTCCAAAAGTCAAAACTGGACGAATACTCTGGGACGGAGGGAGTATAAATATATACCTTGACGTTTTTGGAAGCGTAAGCGAGGAAAATGGAGATGTAAAGGGTTTCGATGACACAGCCAATGGAGTTGATGGAGATGAGGAGAGGGGCGTTCTTCTTGAGGAAGGCGTAGTACATCCACAGCATTGCTGAGAAGAGGGAGACGATGTACGGCACGGACTGGTACCCCATTGTTGATTTTGCTTTGTGGATCCGAATGAACGTGGGCCTGCTCTTTGCCCCCAACAACAACACCCACACTTCATTACATTACATGATTGATTAATTACTTTACTTTACAACAATGACATGCTTTAGTTAATCTCTTTCCCACCACATAAAATATCTTAACTTTCCTCTTTTGTCAATTCTACATAAAGTTCCTTTTTCTTTTTTTTTTTCTCCTTTTTCTCGTCTTTAAATTTCAATCACACAATTTTATTTTTTTATATTCCATTCGTTCACCAAAATAGTTTCTATTTTAAGTAATGAGAGAAATATGAAGTGTATATTAGTAACCAATAGTCCATGAGCTTGGTAAAACAGTTCCTATTTTATGTCAGATTTATTTTCGTAATTTTACTTTTCAATTATTTTTCTAAGGTCGAGGAAAAATAGAGAAAATTCATTTAAATAACTTGTTATATCAATGCAAAATAAAAAAAAGTATATTGTAACGAATTTTATTTGAATATATATTAGTCATTTTTTAGTTAAAGTGGAAGTGTTTTGTTGAAAATAAAATACCGTAAGAGAAATTGTTTTGAAAAACAGAGGGAGTATGTAGTAAACCTTTTTTCTTACTTTTTCTACTATGTGGTTTTTAATACTAAATATTAATATCACCCATACAATTTTATTTTCTTAATTTACGTGCCACTTATAATGCTCCAAAAAATAGCAGGATGACAAACTGAGTATATAATTCAAATAGAGGAACTTACGTAAATAACACTAATATATAATGACTTTTCCAAAATAGCATCACATGTATTTTTCCCAATGTATTACTTTTAGTCATTATCCATTAGTCATTATTCAAGTAAATGTTCGCCATCACTGGACATTATTAAGTGCTATTTAGGGAATAAAACAGTTTCGGTGTTATTTAAGGAAAAGACTTAAATTTTAGTGCTATTTAGTGCAAATATTTCTTTCTCAAATATATTTGATTCTTTTCTCCAAAATGCTACCTCTAAGTATTTGTGTCCAATTTTTTTAACCCAACTAATATATACTCCCTCCGCCCAAAAAACCTTTCTCCTTTCTTTTTTCATCCGTCCCAAAAAACACTTCTCATTTCTATTAAAAAGT